GCCGAGGAGGAGGAGAACATGGCGGCCGCGGAGAGCGGCTGAAATGCTTGTTCTTCAGGCCAGGCGAGCGGGACGCTGACGCGGTTCGCCGAGCCCTGTTCTCCGACGGCTGGACAGCGACTCTGCGCGCCTCGGCCGCCTGTTTGCCGTTGCTCCCTCGAGCAGAGTCAGTGCCAGGTTCGTTCTGCATCCCCCTACGGGGGGACCCCTGCTCCGGAGGAGGGGGCCGGAGAGCCGCGGCGGCGGCGGCGGCCGCCTGGGCCCCGGGAGCTGGGCGCCTGGCTCGAGGAGCAGCGGAGGCCGCGGCGGCGCCGCCACGGTGAACGCGGCCCAGAGGCGGCGGCGGCAGGTGAGTGGCGGGCGGCGGGCGCGGAGCCTCCGGGTGGGTGCAGCTGTCACGAGCCGCGCGGCCGCCGAGGCCCTAGGGGGCGGGGAGCAGCTGGCGCCCCTCCGCCCCCTGCTCGCCTTTCTCTCCGTTCCGTCTCCCCCTCCCACTTTCCCCGAGTTCCCCTCTTGGCCTGGCGCGGCTGGAGGGGGCGGAGGTCGCAGCTGTCACGGGCACCAGCTGGGGGCTGCTCCCCGCTGAAGGAAATCGCTGCTGCAGCGACTTCTCTCCGCCTCTTTTCCAGTTGCCCTAGTTAGCGCGGAGAGGGCGAGCATCCGCGGAGGGTGCGCGAGGCTGCGCGGCCGCCGGCCGGGTGTGGGGAGCGGGCGCCCGGAGCCGCCGCCGAGAGGGGGAGCCGGAAGTCGGCGCCGGCGCCCCTCTGCCCCGACGAGCGCCGTGACCTTGGCCAGCAGGCTAACCTCTCCGAGTCTTGTTTGCCCGGACCGCGAAATGGGGGTGATCGTGGCATGCCTTTCCGCCAGCGCAGCCTTCGACGGCGCTTCTGTTTAACCCGGTGCACTTGCATTTTCCCCTCCTTCGGGGAAGGGCTTTGAAGGTAGCGTTGGGAGGGATGAGTGAGATTTTCTGTTGCTGCTGGGATTTGGTCCCATTCCTGGGATTTGGCCGCAGGGACCGCGGAAGGGAAGCAAACATGTTGAGTAGACGATTGGAAGGTGGGGCAGGTTAGTGGTCAGCGACAATTGGAGTCGCTCTATAGTCTCTTGGAAAAGCCATGGGGAAATCGGACACCGGGGTCCTTGTTTGTAATACCCAGCTGTGTGGCTTTTTCTTTTTTCTTTTTTTAAAAGCAGTCACTCTCATGGGCTAGACGCTGCCTAGTCTGAGCAGAGGGAGCCAGAGGAGTTGACCATACTGCCTGTGTGTTTGTGTGTGTGTGTGTGTGTGAGAGAGACACACACAGACACATGTACAGGCCATGGTGCTGTGGTCAGAGACTTTGGTAGGAAGGAAAACTTTAAACTGGAGGATCTCTTGGCTTTCATGCTTGGCTCTCTTCGTTCATCGTAGAGGCGTTGAAGAGGCAGGTGTCCTTGTGAAGAAGGTGACTTATTTTTTCTTTTGAGATGGTGAGTTTTTAATGTCGAGTGTGATGTTGGCGAATGAAGGGTTCTTGAGTGAACTGCAGTCCCAGCACCCTCGGTGGATGCCCAGAAGAGTCTCTGTGGCAATTGTTTGCTAGGTCTGGTGCTTACACTTAGTGGTTAAGAAATCTTCAAGTGTCCGTGTAAAACATTACTGCCCTGAAGGTTAGATTATATTGTATAGTTGAAAGGATGGATCTCGAGGGTTAAATTTGTTTGAGGTTTGTCTCTTCTGGAATGGTTGGAGGTTAGACTCAAAAAACCAAAAAGTTGGCCAAAGGGGCCTCTCAGCTTCTTTCACAGAAGCTATGATGTAGTAGGAAGAGGGTCGGATTTCTTCATCTTGAGAATAACGTGAAAAGAAAGTATTTGCTTGGGTCTTTTTGGTCTTGAACCAGAAATAGTTGGGGGTTAAATAGTGAGGTTTGATTCAGCTTAGTAAACAGGCATTCCTTGAACTGTTTGTCATAAACTAGGTAAAATGGAAGTGTTTCTGTTTTATCGCCTATACTTTGTGGAAAGGTCTAATTTGGTTTTGTGAACTAATGTCTAAAATGTTTTCTCTCCATTTCTTACTTAAAAGACTTTATGTTTTGGAAACAGTGGGCCAAAAAGGAGTTCTGAATGGTTTGGAGAGAAAATAGAGAGCTCCTGTTTTGATTTTTTGTAGATGCTTTGCACTATTTATTACATTTACTTAACCTACACTGAAGTTTGATCTATAATGTGTAAAACTTGAATTTTACATAGTTTATAGTAAATCTCTTCCTTATTTCTCTGTGACAGAATCTATAGGATTGTGTCTATTAAATTGCTTTTTGTGTGGTTTAAACCAAGGGAGTATTTTGGATGTGCCTTTTTGGGTAAGTGGTTTTATTGGAAAAAAAGAAAGTGCTTGATAGAACTAATGGTGATTGTTCCACTTAAACTGGGATTATATAGACAATGCTTTTTCCTCTCTGATTCTGCCAACATTTGTTTTTCTTTCTCCCTCAATTCCAGGGTTTCATTTCTAGAAATCTGGGCTGGAAACAGAAGCAGCAGTTTGTATAATCCCGAGAATTTGCTTATGCCAGGAAGCTGTAAGGGTAACATGAAGTGGGTGTGATATAAAGATACTGCTACTACTTAAGACATTTAACTGTTGAGAGAGTGTAAGGTCAAACTTTAATTTTTGTTGAATTTCCTGTTTTCTATGTATGTGTTAATCTTTTAGTGGGCAGGGGATTGGGTTGCTATGGTAGTGACTGATGTATATTGTGAAAGTGTTGGCAAAACTTCATGCTTTTACTCTATAGAGAAGGGTGGTAAACAAGCCTAAATAATTTAAAGATGTTGTTCCCAGAATGGAATGTTCTCTGAATGTCCTCTTGATCCTGCTAATCCAGTGAGCAGTCCTCACTAGGACTAAATGTTAAGTAAATGATAAGGGTTGTGTAGAGGTGCTGAAAGGTAGAGTGGGGGAGAGAAGGTATTGAACTCGCCTTAAAAATCATTTCTCTGTTGGACTGTGATTTTTAACTGTTTTTCAAGGACATTTTAGTTTTCACTGCTTGGTTTTCATTCATTTTACATACTCTCTCTTAGAGAAGTACTACCTCTCTACTTTAGTTTGTCTTTTTTGACTATATTGTTTAAATGGTACATTGTATATCTTATGGATTTGGGTGGCCTTAACCGTATGACTTAACATAGCTTTCATTTTAGGACAGGTGTGGGAAGTCAATACAAGCACCCAACACTGAGTAGAATTCCCTAAGAAATAGAGTATAGGAGATCCCAGGATGCTCATTATTGTCTTGGCAGTGATTTTTGCCTTCTAAATACATAATCACAGAAATTCTCAAAGGGCCACGAACTGCTTTCTTGGCCGAGGTCCCAAAGTGTTGTGGTGGGTTCCATTTTACATTACCTGCGAATACTGGATGCTGTGGTGGTTGTGGGATTGGATGAAATCCCTGTGTTTTAGGAGTTGGATAACTGAGCACTATATTTGATCTGGGCTGCAGAACCATACAAATTTCTACCCCACTTATATAACTTTCCTGTCCATTTGGAAATACTATGGACTGTAGGAAAGGACCTTTTTAAAATTGCTTTTCCCCTAGATTAACCAGTAACTTAGTCCTTGGTCCTTGGCCACTAAGGATTTTTTTCTTACCATTGGAGGTGAGGTCTAGTCATTTAAAATCTTTGGTTCTGGCTTGGCGCCTATAGCTCAATGGGCTAAGGCACCAGCCACATACACCTAAGGTGGCGGGTTCGAATCCCCAGCCCGCACCCGCCAAACAACAATGACGGCTGCAACCAAAAAATAGCCGGGTGTTGTGGCGGGCGCCTGTGGTCCCAGCTACTTGGGAGGCGGAGGCAGGAGACTCGCTTGAGCCCAGGAGTTGGAGGTTGCTGTGAGCTGTAATGCCATGGCACTCTACCCAGGGGGACAGCTTGAGGCTCTGTCTCAAAAAAAAAAAAAATCTTTGGTTCTCCCTTTATATTTTAGTTTTAGACATTATGCCTTTTTCTCAATGTATGGTGTTGGAGGTCATAAAATGGCCTAGTGGCAAGTAGGTACCATTCTTGGTTGCTTATTTAGGAGGTGGTATTTTTTCTATAGCTTAGTTCTGAAAAATGTTTTGTGGGTGTATATGTATATGTATTTGGATTAGATAGTATAGATTATATTTCTTCAGCATATATGGCTGAATAAGGTAAATTATTACAAAACACACCATTATGTAAGTCCAATTTCATAAGTCAAATACAGTGAATTGTTGTGTCAGTACATCCTCCCCTATCATCTCATCTACAGAATAGTTTTTTGAGATTCCTTGAAGTGATAGGCTGTTAGAAAAATTTAGTATAGTTATCATATTTAAAAGATAAGTAGTTTTTTCCAAAATAGAAGCTATAGTCACTCAAGTGAAAGACTTGAAATTAATCTATCACCTTAGATATATCTTGTTCTTATTTTCTCAGTTTTTTTTTTTTTTTTAAGATAGTCTCTCACTTTGTTGCCCTAATTAGAGTGCTGTGGTGCCATAGCTTATAGCAACCTCAACTCTTGGGCTCAAGAGATCCTCTTGCCTCAGTCTCCCACATAACTGGGACTACAGGTGCCTGATACAAAGGCTTGGCTATTTTTAGATACTGGTTATTTTTAGAAATGGGGTCTGGCTGTGGCTCAGGCTGGTCTCAAACTCCTGAGTTCATGCAGTCCACCTGCCTCTGCCTCCCAGAATGCTAGGATTACAAGTGTGAGCCACCAGGCCCAGACCCTCCAAATATTAATTTTAGTGTGTGGAGGACAGGGATGTTTGGCTTTACTGAGTAACTCTGGACCTGACAGGAACATATAGATCAGACTCATAAAAATAGGTACAAGGACAGAGGTGGAATTCACCTGTTAACAGAACCAGAAATTTAATAAACTCTGGATTATCCAATTTTTCCAGAATGATATTTCATTTTTGCCCCTTTGGCTTATAATTTTGAGGCAATTTTGAAACTTTTTAAATGGAGCTTTAATTTTACACTGGCAGAGGGTGGGGACCTGGTCTTCCAGATAGTTGATGTAACCTTGGGCTGTTTAATCATACTAAACTTCAGGTTTTTTTGTATTAAAAATTTAAATAATGTACTTACCCTCCTGTTGTGATCTTTAACTTTTTGTATTAAGTAAGATAATGTAACATATGATTGGGAGTATTAACATATCAATAGCTAGCTAAAATGGGCACTTCATTAGCTAATCTATCAACAAATTTTCTCATTCTTTGTAATTTCTGAGATTTTTCCTTTTATTTCTGTTAAAAATAAAAGGAAAACAATCTGGTCCTTCTGTCGCTTTGTGCAAGGAGTAAT